TACAGTTAAACAACTCATCGGCGACTGGCGTGTGCAAGAACACTACATACCTGACACCTGTACATGCTTGCACAGGTATCGTTTCGACGACGGAATTGTTTCCGCGGTACTAAGTAAAACGCATAAAATCCAAATAGGGAAATACTAGAAAAGTCAGTAGTCACACGAAAATCAAAATAAATCAAAACACTATCATTCAGTAAACGGGAAAGTAAATAAGAAACAAGAAACATTTCAAATATTTTTCTAAACAATTTTTTTATGAAATAATATAATGGGCTATAAACTCTAAAAAAACGATTATATGCCAAATATGCCTTTACACCTAAAACATGCAAAAACATGCATTATTAAACTTCATATTATTATTACTATTGTTATGAAACGGATTTGTATCTCAGTTAGTATATTTCTCTGTGTAGCAAAAAAAACATGCAAATGCCTGAACTTACGAGCCCTGATAATATGTAACTATAACTTTATTTATAAAAATATGATTGACGAATTATTTTTTATTATTTTTTCTACGCTTAATTTTTTTTAAAACAATAATTATACATTTTATATTTTAATTTTTTTCAGATAAAATAATTTGTCACTAACCTTTTTTTTAAATTCGTTGTTTATCTCTTCACAATTTAATGTACAATTATGTTGGCGAATTTTAGATAATAATAACTGTATGAAAATAAATTTCAAAATAATAAAACGTAAGAGTACAACAGATCACCAATCGTTGTAAACACTAACTAAATGAAAGATTATACACAAATTAAGAGTAGGTTTATTTTACTGTTCATAACGACACAATTAAATTGAAAATACTGTATCGGTACTCGGTATTGTCAGTTACAGAAATGATGTGAAAGATTACAAATATTTATGATTTGCTTTCGTTGTAATAAAATTATTATTATGTCATCGATAAGACCCATATGGCAACGAGAAAACTGATTTCATTCAATTTAACGTAAAACCCAAAAACAGCGTTAAGAACCTGCCGTTGTACCACGAATATAAAATACGCAGAAATGTACTAAAGGGAATAAAAACTAAAGATCGTCAAATATTGTATTATTTTTATATTAATTATTATATTATCGGATTTCCCCATAATATTATGTTAATGTTATTTTTATTTTGTAAATATCACGAAGTTGAAAAAAATAAGCCAGTCAATTTGGGGGTGGTTTGAACCCCCAAAACCACCTCCTCGGCACGCCCCTGAGGGTAGGTGTTCAGGGGTGTGAGGCCCTTACTAGTCTGTGTTTTCTGCATAATTTTAGCACCCTTAGTGTTTGACCTCTAGTTACGCCTATGTGGACAGGCCCATCGGGAAATCGGGAATTAAAAAAAAAAAATAGCAATAATATAAAAGTAAATTTTAATAATACTGGTAAAAGTCTGTTATAGTCCTGGCGGCTGTACAGTGTACAATATTATAAAAAATAATGCGTACTTGTAATGTTTGTATACCTACTCATCTATTAGGGCCTAGTGACCTATGTATATACTCGTCGATATCCGTATAAATACATATCTATTTTGTTGTATGAACCATTGAACTAAATCTAAATAATGTATAAAATGTAGAAATAAATAAATATAATCGATGCCAGGGGCGACTTGTTATAAGAATACTAGGAGCGACTGCTCCTGCGGCCCTGCCCCAAAAATCAGGAAACAAAATGTTTTAAGTTTAACAGGCTTATTTATAATTCATAAAAGAAGATTGATCATTCAAGTAAAAATTAAGTGTATCTATATCATAAATTGTAAAAGTTAATGAAAAATTTAACTAAAGAACCTAAAATTGGTCCTAGTAAATGTAGTTGGTGGGTAGGTTGTTTATAAACTTGCTCCTTGAGTTATGAAGACTCAAGCCGCCACTGATCGATGTTCGAATAACAAATAAAAACAACCATAATAATAATTAATTTTTCGATTAATGATAGCAAGTATGACCTATCTAATATCTACGTTTATATACATATCTTTGTATCGTAATAAATTCAATTTGTTATATTTTTAAGCAATGCGTATTAATGTGAATGTCTAAAATATAATTTTCTCTTGTTTTCGATTATAAACGTCAATACTAAGAACGTTGCTTTTATAGATTTATGACAATGGCATGTAGTGGGAGGGGGGGCAAGTGCAGTGTCAACCAATTTTTACTTTTTTAATAAAAAACATTAAATAATTTTCAAATTGCATATACAACAGTTATAAGTTTGTGCAACCTATCAATGGCTGAACAAGCTAAAAATCAAAATCATTATATAAAATTAAGTGTTTCTTCTTCCCATAAAATAACCTAAAACCTATCAATGGTAAAATTATGTTTATTAAAAAAAATGCATTTGTTAATTTGAAATTACCTATCAATTAATTAAGACTAATAATGCTGTAAGATTAAATATTAACTGGCTATCAAGATAATATTATAATTTATAAATAATTTTTATATTAACTGCATTTATGAAAGAAAACATGTCACAAACTTACAAACAACTTTATCACTAATATCATACAGTGAAACAAAAAATTGAAAAATGGAAATATTTCCCTTCATCCTCATCCTTGCCTACCCAAATCGTAGGTGAAAGTAATTTCACCACACAAGTCATGGATATACGTATATACCTATTATAAAATAACTATAAATTACACTGGTTTAAAGTGATATTCGTTATTCGCGTCCTTTCAATTTCCTCATATGATTACACACTTTGAAAGATGAATATACCATGAATATATAAGGTGCATCATTTTTTTTTTCATCTTTTAGATCAACAACCAGTGCTGCAGCCACTGCAGGTCCTTAAATGGCAAATCCTGGAAAATTTACCCTAACCTAATAACCATTAAGAAAATTTAGAGATTTAGTATATTATACCTCATTTTATTGCATCCGGTATAATTATCGCTGTATAACACTACAACCCAGGAATCGTGAAAAGGAAACAGGATATATATTTTTTCTTTTTGTATTCAATGAACATAATCGGCTATTATACAAGCGTTTTTAAACACCGACGTTTTACTTACGATTGATGGAACAAGCGGAAATCGCGACACTAAAGATGTGCAAACATGATTCAATTATTTAGGTTTTATAAGTAGGCATTTAAAGATTCCTTGGACACGAGAACTAAGCAGAAAATACGATTATTTGTTTATTATCTATGATAATATTGTTACTGACTAAATATTAACTAATTATTAGCCATTGCCCATTCGGTTACAACCATAGAAAAGAGTTTAAACTACTAATCAAAAGTACGTGGTACTACTGTAGATGCTATAGGTACGTAACTACTTACAACTTTCTACTGTAATAATATTGCTTATTACAGAATACAGGCTTGATGCTTGGCTCAGTCACAAACGTGTTCCGAGAGCTAACACCGGACAGTGTCACTAGTTCCCGGATGGGTGACCCACGGGTTCTTAGTGACAAATCCTTGCCGAACATACATGTGTTATGAACCAACTGTAGGTACCCTCCCTACAGTAAAAAGTAAGAACCGACTAATAACCATGCAGTTGATTCCGTAAATTAACAATAAACAAAATTACGGAATACAGATTACAATTACAGACTATTGATGCAGCGATTGTATAATGCAGTAATACCTAAGTTTATAAAATATTTAACTACTTAATTATTTATAAAATCAATAATCTTTGGTACCACTCAGTTTCCACTGTAACATTTTAAACAGTCACAAGTGCTTTGAATCAATACAAAAGTTGTCTGAAAGGTGCTTTAAGCAAAGTTCTTCGACACCAACTCTGCATTACAAATTTGC